TTTTTTTTTTTTTTTTTTCCTTTTTTTTTTTTTTTTTTTTTTTTTTAACTTGTCCCTGAACTTAAGTAGTTTTTATCGTCTGCAAACTTGTTCTTTCAGCGGTGCTTACACAACCGCAGTGTTTATTATAAATGAATTAATTGGGCTTACAATTTAATGCATGTCCAAGGCGAATTATTTGCAAATAATACAAATATGCACATACGTATGTATATGTTCTATCAAGCTAGCAACAAACTATCTTTGCTTATCAGCGTTGTCCAGGCATTAATTAGGACGGAAAAATAAAAGTGATTGCAAATACCCCAATTAAGATTGCATAAGTAGTTTCAGTTATCTATTCACCCATATCACATGCATATTTCTTGTATATACATAATTACTTTCACTTTTCTCTATTTCTTTGCGCAGCGGAAAAAGTGGAAAAGGTCAGTATCGATCTCGATTCGAAAACAGTGCTTGTGACATCGAATCTGACTTCAGAAGAATTGTTGGAAACTATCAAGAAGACTGGCAAAGCGACGCAATATGTAGGGGTGAAAGAATGAAACGAACTTTTTTGCAAGTTCCGCAAAATTGCCAAATTAAAAATGGAAGTTTAATGGGTGTAATCAAGTAAGTATTCAAGAATTAACGTGGCGGCGATAGGCTTAACAGTGAAACTGTAAAAGGCCAATTAAATTTATATTTTGCGATTATAAAAAAAAAAAAAAAAAAATCGTTACCTATAAACGATCCATTGAGTTATACTCTCAACAAATATAGTTAAATAATACATTTAATTAAAATTGAAAGTCATAAAAAGAACAAAATGGACCAGTAAAATTGTATCTCTTTAAAGATTAATTGTATTTACATAATTAGCGAGTTCATCGTAAACCACAAATTTTAATATACAAAAACGAAAAATAAGTAAAAATTTATTCGCATTGGCAGTAGGTATATTAATAGATACATATTTACAAAGTAAAGTCGATTTACAAAAAAATAATCTGTTTAAAATAAAAATATAAATGTAGCCATCGTCAATTTTCAAACCTAATGTTAATCCAAAAGTTCTATCAAAAATTTAAAGAATAAACTCGAAAAACAATGCAATTGAAAAAAAAACTAATTAGTAAGGGGGTGTTCAATGGTTTGCTAAACAC